TTTTAAACAAAAAAGGGTTTAGATTTTTTCTTAAAAAAAAACCTAAGTTTTTCATAGCTTGCAATACGGGGAAAATTTTTCCTGCCCCCCTTTTGAATACAAATTAAAAAAAAAATTAGAGTAAAAAATATATCTTTTCCACCAGTTTCTAATTGTAAACTAGCAAATGTTATTTCCTTGCATATTTTTTCTCAAACATTTCATCATTTTAATCGGATAAGGTATAGAACTTACTGGGTGTAAGACAAATTTTGCAGGGCATACAATAAGATGAATGTCCAATGCATCGATGGTAAGATACTTTCAAATGCAGCTTTTTATAACAAAATTGCGCATAGTAAAACCTTTATACAGTATTTTTATTCTTCATCCTTTTTCCTTAATTTGAAGTTGAATTTTATGACAAACAAAGCGCACATGATAACTACATTGCAATTGCAGTGTGCTGATGTTTACGTTTGGATTATTATATACGAATGTGTTTACTTGATATAGATGTAGAACTACAAGACCTTCACAACGTTGGCTTTCTAGAACAGTTTTGTACCCATTGGAAAAGAAAATCACCAAATTGATATTACAAATTCTAATTTTTCTCTGTCCTTTAGCACACGTTGGTACTCTATAAGGACTTGTGTCGTTTAAATATTTTAGGCTTCTTCCGGGAACACTTCCCAATTACTGTGACCTTGAAAGCATTTTGAAAATGTAGTGGCATATTAAAGTCCTTAAACTGACGTTGTCTGTAAAAGAAACTTAAAATACTGATACCCATCAATGGTTTGCTATATGCTTTGCGCACATGTTATTACAAAATGTCACCTTGTAATCAGTGCCTCACCAAAAAAAGATTATGTTCTGTTCTGTATGGATGTTGCTTTCTTTTGAATGGTTTAACTGAATATATACTAAATTCTATACAATCGCCATGCACAAATCACAAATAACGCAGTAAATAATTCTTTAATAAAGAAGTAATTTCGAGGTAATTATAAAACAAGTCTACCGATGAATATATGAAACTTGTTGGTAAAAAGATCAAAGAGCTGGACTTTATTAGAAACAAGATCCCATGAAAAAAACCTGTGAAAGTTCATAAACGACATTAATGTAATAAAATACAACTTTCCGTATCTCCGCTCAACCTATAAGATTTACTAATATTAACAAATAAGAAAAACTGCGACCTAATTCAATCTATATGAAGGGAAGATCAAAGCAAAAAAAAATATCGAATAGGTATTGACACAATAAAAGAACATAGAACCGGCTTTTACGACGTTAATGTAATGGTTTAGCCAGTTAGTAAATACAAGAAGACGCATAAGCAAAAGAAACCAGATATGCAGAATAATCCCTCGATTTAGAATACATAAATCTCATTATTACACTTTATTGGACAGTCTTACTTATAGAGTCCACTGAGCGCTTTTGACATGACGGGACAAGAAATATTTTTACAAGATTTGTGTACTGTATGACGCAGTTCTGGGTTCAATTTTTTTTAAATTATTCGCTCACTTCGTTTTTCGAGAGTAACATTTTATCATATTGATTCACTTGATCTATGTAATGATTTCAAATTTAATAACTTTGGGCTTGTTGACCACAGTGGCGCTCCCTAAAGTGTTCAGAACAATAATCATTAATGTTAATGACCTACCCGTATTAACTAGCTCTCGAATTCATGCATAGAAAAAAAATAGACACTTTTTCCCCAAAACTGGGAAAAGGGCCCCTATTTCATATTTTTCAATTTTTACAGATGTTTGGCAAATGCAACACATTAAAAATAAAATTTTTTTTTATTTTCACTACTCACAATCAATACAATTGATTTTGTTAAAAACTATACCCAAAACATTTTTTGAATTATTAAAATCGAGCATGCTTTTGCTTTCATAACGTGATTTTTCCCTTATTAAAAATTTTAACAAATGTCACATGACTGTACCCATGTAATAATTTTCAGTAATTAAAAAACTTAGGGTTTTAACATAAAGTCTTGGGTTAAAGCCGTACCATGTACATTATTCTGTTGACTTAAATCGTTGTTTGTTTGTTTGTTTTTATTATGATTATTCGGTGTATATTATGTTTTTCTGTTTTAAAATTTGCGTATACGTTTAATAAATTTGAAATAGAAGTACGTAAAAGTGATATGTGAACAACCAAGATTTTTTTTTTCAAATTCTATATGATAAATATCTGACATGTTTGAACACATGTCATATTGTATCTGGATTATTTTAGGAAAGCAAATCATTAGGCCTTTATTAAAAAACACATTACGGTTGGTATTTAGCTAACTTTTTGTTTATTCAATCAAGGATATTTCATTATGGTTTCTTTCAGATGTGAAATATGAGTCGCTTCTGCTTTAAACCTCATATTGCCATATTTTAAATAAAAGGTTGAAAGTTAAAGTACGTGACTAAACGACTTATCGTTTGTGTATAAACATATCAAATAACACTTCAATCCCGCAGCTTTTACATTAACCATCAACATATATTGTGATGACATGAACTGATATAGAAGAATATAAAAAACAGAATAAATGGCCTTTTATTCACACAAGATTTTCTCTTAATACTTCGAAGTCATGATTTACTGTTCTTAACTTTCTTCTTTTTACACTCATTCTCACTTAAGTACGATATTTCTTGTCTTCAATTTCCTATGTCAATTGGTGGAAATATATGAGCGCGAACATTACTGTAAAATGTTTAAACACTTTGTACTGCATCTATGATTTATTTGTAGCTCAAGTTTAATAGCTTATTGGTTTGACTTTGGAAAGTGACAATCGCTTTTGCATGGAAAGGGGTAAAAACAGAATGTCTTCAACTAAATCGAAGTATGTTTCATTTCAAGTATTTTCTTATAAAGATTCGTGGTTACCAGTAGACAAAGCTTACTTTCGTCAATCTGTTGGAAATTTTGACATAAAAACTGTTTTTGATATTAAGAAAATTGATTTTCTAATTGCTTGTCTTCAAAGTCGGTATCATTTACCATACTGAATTGCTAAACAATTTTAATCATGTTAACATACTATTTATTTGAAAAGGAATATAATTTCAGTACAGTATTCAAGAAAGTTCATTTTCAGTTTTAGCATTTGTATTTGTTCAAAAAGTCTTGATTTACTGAAAATGAATGTATAAACAGACATTTGCAAAGCATAAATATACGTTCAAAATGTATAAGACAAATGGCATTGGATACGAGGTGTTAGAAAGCTTGTTTAAAAAATACGGAGTACACTAAATTTCATCTTAAAGTAAAGGCTCTGTTAAAGCAACACGGGCTATTTGAGATTTGCTATTTGCTGTGATGCAATTTATAATTATTATCACCTCACTTGACCTACATAATTGTGAATTTCTTGCTTGGTCTTGATATTCGGATTTAGTGGTTAAGCCTTTGTTGTTATTTAGCTACTTCTATTTTCTAATTAAGGTTCCACGTAAACATGTAAATCATTAGACACTGTAAGCTGCTACAGTTTCTAGACATGTTATTAAAAAGTTAATGCTGTTTAATGAGAAGTAAGGAACCAATTTAATAGAAAAACGTAAAATAATGAGCCATCTTCTATACATTTTTAGGTTATTTTACAGAATTGAAATGAGCTCGTATGAAGACATGCTTCAATCAAAAATATGTTTGAATTTCACTGTTAGGGGTGATTGCAAATGCATATCTTTGCATTATTTCAAGCAAATACGTTTGAGCACTTAGTAAGTATGCGATAAAGGTAAAAGCAGAACGCGTCACATTTCACATTACATCGCTCTGATACTGTGGTTCAAACACGAAACTATAATAAATATCATAACCATATATTATGGCAGATCATTTCCAGTAGATAAATATCTGCTCCAAGTGTAATTACGGTAAATAAGGTGTGATATACGCCTCTAACACAATTCCTAGACACAAAATGTGTCCTCATAAATACAATCAACTCTCTTCAAACATTGCGTTACTATGCGCTTAAAGACAATTGGTTCATTCATTTAAATGACATAAATCCCGTATTTGCTCATTTTTCGAGAAAAAAAATTTACTTTTTAGTTATTTTCTATGACTGTCCTACACTTTTTTGTTAGTGTTGACTCCTTTGTGTTAAACAGAGAAGATCTTTTCAAAAATCAAACAGGTAAACAAGTTAAATCAAATGCACTGTAAAATTAAATAGAACAAGGACAATCAAAATCTCTATGTCAAAACATTCTAAAAGGAGTCTGACCATTACATATTTATTATTCACAGTTTTAGTCTAGCAATATATATAGATAAAGGTGGATTGCCTTCCTGTCTGGAGTCCCAATACAAATTGTATAAGCAATTTCACATATACTCCAGGATTAACGTGAACGGTATTTAAAGTGACATTATGCTCACTTTTAATGGCAATATGAGCTGAATATTTTTCCAAAGATTTCAAGAGCACAATTACACATATATGAGTTTAAAAATCTTACGTTATACATTATTTCCTACATAAATGTTATCATTCTCCCCAATTTTATAACCGATGATATAGAATGACTCTTAAGGAAATCTGAATCAGCTTTATTGACTGTGCCTGCGTGATATCACTTTCAAACAATTAAGTTCAGATTGCTTACAGTGTAGCATTTTTATTTAATTTAAATTTTTATTTAAAATGTTGTAAACAGATAATACTTGTCATGTATTTTTAACCATTTCAAGTGCAAAAAAATCAAGGTTGCAATCTCTATCGTTGTCTCGGACTCTAAAAATGCCAGGAGGTCTGAAATAATTCACATAATCAAGAATCATTTGAATATAAACCATTTTATATAGACTTTAAACAAGTACTTTCATGTTGATGTTATCTTGTGTATGAATTATTCATACAACTGCAACGTGGCCGCCTAGCCACTGTTACAAAGGGATTCGTCTGAACCTGGCTTGAGGCTTTGATACACTTATTTTATAATGGAAGCTTGACAACGGAGGCGATAAACATTTAACACATTTTATTTAACTAGAAACCTTAACAATGAAAATGGTAGCATATGGTAATTATTAAGAGTAAGTGTATAAGATGGTAATATTACGATAAATGTTCTGTTTAATAACAAGTATTCTTCTGTATATAAAGTTCACGAGTTCCTTCTTACTCTATAAAATAATTCAGTTCAACTTTAGCTAATAAATATGAAAGAAATAGTCACTTATTTAGTAAATAAGTTATTCCACTGAATGTTTATGTTGAATGGAAGTGTCATTTAGTTAAGAGTCAGCTTGATAACATCTTCACCAGTGTAAGAGAGCAACGTCACTTTATCATGTTATTGTTGATTAAGAATAAAGGTATCTAAGTGTTCATCTTTTGTTCATCTCGGCGAGTACACTTCTTCTTCAAGGTTTTAAACATCAGTAAAAAAGGAGTACTTTATATATGTTAAAGGTCCATAGTCTTTAGTGTGTCTCTTTATTTAAGGTACTCTTCAACAATACTTATATATATAAATGAGATAAGTATCATAAGTTAATCCCCTTGACGGTTCTATAGAAATGAGAGGATTTTATTACTGCTTGTAGCACTGCATTGACCGTAGTATGTACATTAAATTCTGAGGTGTTTGACGATAATGTTACTTCCTCAATCTCTCCTGTAACTATAGTGAGGTGGTAGCTCTAGAAGAATAGTATCTGACGGTAATTGGTCAGATAGACGGTAGGGTACCACAAGAAGTAGTAGAGTATAGATTCTTCTCACAGATATAATGGTAAACTGCAACTGGACGGTAAAGTAACACTTTGGATATCAACGATGAGCAAATTTCCACACACTTATTTATAAATGCGACGGAATAGTAGATCAAAAACCAATCACACTGATGACACTTGTAGAAATAATTCTATTTCAATATATTGACCGATATGGTTTTGTAGCCGATATTTAACACAGATGGTATTATATATTGTTGGGAATTTCAACAGCACCACTTCTTTATTAAGGTTAAAAACAGACTCCTTACTCAATAATTGTTGACGGTTCTCACTTCGAAATTCATTCCTATCGGCGACACTGTAGCACTGAATATATATTTATCCTTAAATGACACTTTACGGTAATTAAAGACATCACACACTTGCAGAATTATAACTATTTGATTATGGATCAGATTATAAAAGGCACTTACACTGACGGTTATTCACAAGGCACTTACACTGACGGTTATTCACAATAAAGATGACACTTAAGCACACAATAAAACACTGATGATCCCTTATGTAATTACTTAGAATATAATTAAGATGACGGTAACCAACACTGACGACGTTCCTCTCCGTTGGTAGTAACACTTTACATTAATTATATTTATGAAGCACTGATATTGATTAGATCAGATGATCTTTATTGCTGCATTAATTTCTTACACATTACCACACTAAGATATTTGTATATCCATGAAAAAGCACTGACGGTTATATTGAACACTTCCTTTGGATTTCACATTCACTCACATAACGGCACTTTACCCTTAAAACAGCTTAATAATGACGGTATTTTAATCACTGAAGCACTGACGGTTCTTATGGTCATTGACGGTACTTTAATCACTTAAACACTGACGGTTCTTCTGGTCACTGACGGTAATTTCGGACCTTACTTTATATTAACGGTACGAACACTGACGGTATTTAAGACATTATTAACACATCCTTTGCTTACCAATTCATACACTTAACGGTACTATAACCGTATTATGACTTAAACACTGACGGTTTTTATCACTTAAACACTGATGGTTTTTCTGGTCACTGACGGTAATTTCGGACCTTACTTTATATTGACGGTACAGAACACTGACGGTATTTAAGACTTTAAGAAGGAATCGTAGGTGTTGTATATTACCTTACGGTTATGTATAATCGAAGAACTTCTCTTTGGTAATGATGATCAGTAGACGGAGGGTGTTGGATGACGGTTGACGGTAACGTAGGTTTACATTATGCAGAAGACGGTTCCTGCCGGGAGACGGTAACCTTATTACGGTTCTTGTACCCTGACGGTTGTAATCATAAGGTACTATACCTGCATCATCACGATGGTATCCGTAATCTTTGAAGATTGCCAACACAAATGGTCCAGAGGCTGGCTCCGACTATTTATAAGACTTAACTCATGACGTCACAACAAGTGCTCGCTTCAAAGAATTAGTTTTCGCGAGTATCAAATATGGCTGTCTTAACTACTTCCGCCGAAGTTGGCAAAGTTATTTTGGCTTATTATGGAGATATTTCAAAGCCCACTTGAAGATGTAGATACTAAATATTGTCTTAGAAGCACGATATATAATTTAAGGGTAATTATTTAAGAAAAACAGAAATATATTTCTTTTATTAACATAAAAACGATTTTGTTTATATGTAAATTCGGTGGGTGGGGTAACGTTATCGCACTTTTTGCACTGTAACTCGACTATTCCTTTACCGATTTAGACAAATAAGGTATCGTTGGAATCGTTGTAAGACAGACATCATATCAGAGTATATGTCTGATAAATATTTAAATTCTAAGTGGCTTTTAAGAATTAAAATGTTCATAAAACAGGAAACAATAAGTTTCTGGTATAAATCGACCATTTCTTCTCATTCAATAAATATGGACTTGATAACTTATGTTTATATATAAACATTAATTTTTGGAGGTTCGTTACACAACTAAGCATATTTGATACAAAACAAATGAAAGACACTAAGAAAATGAAATAGGACGTTACAAGTTATACTTAATATTTGAATATTTGTTCGTTAAGAAAGTATACATGCCTTAGATATTTAGGTGAGACTGAAAACATGGCATCAAATAGTTTCGCCATATTAAGCCAATATGTGTCACCATACTAAGCCAATATGTACCACTAAAATAAGCGGTAATGCGATTTTCACCTATAAACCATGATTATATGGGCATGAATGATAGAATACGATGTCTGACAAGATAATAACGGATGCAGATATCATGGGTTAACGATTTCTATATCATTTACAAAATAATTTAACATCAATAAGACATATCGTACATTACTTTCTATATAAATAAAATGCTTAACCGTTCAATTGCTGGATCCAAAGGTAATTTGCCTTGCCACCGGTAAAGAAATAGCCAAGTCTGCATATCTAACCTGGCTCTGTAGTGTTAGCAGTTATTTTGATATACACCTAGAATAAGCTGTACTAAATTTATAACTTAAAAGAACCAATTTCCTTATAAAGTCAAGCGACTTTACACATTGTTTTAGCGTACATTGAAAATAATTTATTGTATCACTGTAATTTAACATTGATGCATTTTTAATGACCTGACTCCTTTATCTTTTCGTGCGAGCTTGTCAAGCTTAACTCCTAATGTATTCAAGTGATCTCGCGCTGCGCGAAATAAACACTCCCCGGCTACATTAGAAATCTTAAAGTGAACGATATGTACGAACAGTTCGCCATGTTTGTGATTATTTCAGTTCCATTATGATGATTAAAGTATTAAGTCAAAGAACCATATATCAAAAGTATAACAAAAGTAATGCCTTTTTTTGTACTTTAAAGCTTCACGCCTCCAGATGAGCAAAAATATTTCACGAAAATAAATATTAAGAAAAATGTACTAATATTTTAAGAAAGGTAGAAACACCCAAGACCAAAGTTATATTTAGAATGTACGTGCAGTTTAAAACTGATTTTTCAGTACTTAAACGGCATATTTCTCTTGCGTTACTAACGCAGTAAGGGCTGTTTTTGCATATGTTCACCAATTTTGGGTAATTTTCGTGGATTTTAAGTGCCGATAGCAATATAAACATTATTTTATTTGTTTACCTCACAATATTTTACTTTTAAATACATTTCCAAACTTTTCATGAAAATTAAAATGAATCTGGAGGCATGCTGCTTTAACGTGGAAGTTCAGTAGACAAACCCTTATATAAATCATGCATTTTACAATTTCCATTTTGATAATGAGCATTACATTATACGGTCCATTTTTAAAACAGTATGTTTTAAAAACATATTTTAACTTGACCAAATATTTTGATAAAAACTGGTTGTCACTCTGAAAGGTCTGTAAGCGAAGTTCATTAGTTTTGCAAGTACCTACGTGTTTACTTGGATCACCAGTTATGGTGAAATAAAATTCCTGATCTCATATTTGTGCAGATTTTCTACTCCGCAATAGAACTATATGGCATATATTTGACATGGTGGCATACGCGTTATACAATGTAAATACATAAAGTCACGCTACATATATAAAAAACAATATTCTTTTTAACTGTTCTTATTTTGGCTTTTGTGATGAATATGTTTCATATGTCTAGAGCGAATGAATTTGTACAGAGAAAGTCATAATGGCCTAGACAAAAACATCCGTGACACTTCAAGGGCTGGAAATCACAAATATTTAACATAATCATGAAAACTAGGCAATTCTAGAGTGGATTTGTACCATGTTTTCAAGATAGTAGAGATTTAATAATTTATTCATACATTAAAAAGCAACAGGGAACAATGAACATAAAGACAAGCATAGTTATGTCATGCGTCTTTATAGAACTGTGTCACTTTAAACATTAGCACTGATTTTTCCATTTTTTGTATCTTCGAAAAACGTTTATTAATTATAATACATAAGTCTTATATATATATTTGTATAACTTGTCAAAAGAGGAAGAGCAGTGCGAATAAGCTAGCAGTCGTACAACATTGATAAAGTTTCTATTTCCGTTAATAAGATTTTCTACAATCAATCATGATTCGTTCAGCGATCAGATGTCATGTCTGCTTAGTGTAATAACGGAAATAATACGTGATCAAATCTGGTCATTAGGAAGCTTCAAGTAAATAAAGAATCGAAAATCTTGTGAATCTAAATATATAACGATGTATTTTAACAGGTTATGTTACTGAAGTGTTAACTTAGAAAATAAACTAAACTTAAAAAAGAAAATAACACATTTGCTGTATAATTTACTTCTTTTCATTCACATCTTTACAGAACATTTAAATATATTTTGTATTGAAACGTTTACAACCATTAATGAAGATGTTTTATTTCAATATGAGAACATTACTTTTAATATTTAATTGTTTGGTTCTATTGTTTGGTTCATTTTATATAGTCAACATATTGCTTCATAACATTTCTAGGATGAACGCTCCATTACTAGAGCACAATAGGTCGATATTTACTGGAGCACCAATTACATGGTAATTACGAACTGATTCTTGTGATATATTTAAGGGATTCACCTTGATCAGAAAAAATCCAAGAGAATTTTAAGTGGAAAAAAAACGAATAAAATGCTTGATGTGCCATGTGACATTTTCGCAGAATGCTCACAACGTAATCAAAACACTTTCCTGTTTGTCTTTTCATACCAAAGATTTTCACAATTTTGACGGATTTTGTTAATCGTTTTTAAAGAAAAGATGCAAAATATAAAGTGGTACTTACACATGTTGAATATTTCCAGTATGCACTTGAAGCTTTTTTCAATAGCTATTGTCCTTTAGAAAAGTCATTGTGTAAAATATTCAAACATTTATAAATATGTAGATGAGATGCTTCGAAAATAATGAAAACCAAAGCAATATTCATTGTAATATTCTAAGTGCAATTTTATCAGTTAGTATATCGCTCTCATCATATTTTGAGCTTAAACTGTTTTACAAGGAGTTTTATGCGTACTTTAGAACATTTACATTGTGTTTCTAGTATTTTATCAGGTTTTGATGGAAGATTTCTAAATGTAGAAAAACGGTACAAACACAACCACACCAAGTCTGCAATTTTCATGTAATTATGTTGTTATAAATGCTTCCGAGGGATCACTTTGTTAACATATTTTTATACTTCACAACAGCAGGTGTCAAATGCCGTATGACAGCTGAAAAAAAGTTGTCCAGTATTTCACTTCAGTGTTGTTATATTTTCCTGGTCCTTCGGGATCATTGATGCCAGCACTATTAGTGTTGATAATTGAGTACCGCTCAAGTCGGTGCTAGGGGGGGGGCGTGAGGGATGTTGCACTTATTCATTATCCCTCATGAACAGACTCATTCAAACCGAGTCTGACATTTTATGTAATATTGTTCTGATTATTGCTTTCGAAGGATCACTTTGTTTCCAGATTTTTGCACATCCATTCTTTTCCAGATGGGAATAGGTAATATAGTAAATTCGTATTTGTGACATGTATTTAGGTAGATACACATTATGCTAAATTAGACACCAAGGAAATGTAAATATTAGAAACGCATGAATATTGTTATGGCTTTGCTCTATGCATAAAATGTATAATAAACATGAAAGAAAGTACGGGGTACATGATATCAAATACAGAAGCAATACAGAAGCATGCTTAAGTTTCTTTTCAATGCATTTAGACAGTTGCAATGTTGTCAAGAACATGAATTGTGTCCGTTATAACCAAGTACTTACAAAATATATTATATATATATAGTATATTATACCTTCTTTTGTCATATGTGCAATAGGTACTGTTATTTTCAATATTGTATTATATCATTATATTGTTTGTCTTTGACACAATAGTGTGTAATCATGTTATGGATAAGGAGCAAAATGTTCAATTCTAAAAAGCAATCATGTTCTGTTTATGTTCTGTTTAAAAACTAATATGTATATTTAAGATATGTATAACAAGATTGTTCGTAACATATCTCTTTTGAGAATCATATTATTATAACATATATGATATACTTAAGTAAATTTTCTAACACAAAGGAATGCCAGAATGCGTAATAAAATACTGATTTGTCTCCTCAAATGCAATATCTTCATTTAAATATACGTGACTTGAATGTTTTTCAACTTCTTAAAAGCTACATTATCTAATGATTGTTACTAGGATACTTCTTGAGTGTGTTCATTAAACAACCAAAAGATAGTTCTTACAAACTTTATATGGTATGTGCTTTTTACGTCACGAAGAACAACATTTTTTATGAAATGTTTATTGTTACATCTTTTATACAAATTTAAAAAGTTAAATAAAAATGTGGCAACTCCGATCAATGAATTTATTTATAAGTAACATACGCTTAAACCAAATACAATAGGATATTTTGTATTGTTTAAGTATAAAGTAATCTGTCACAACATTTGAAATTAAATAAGTAAAATATGTCTCTTCCAGACAAAACGAGCGCTCCATGATAGATAAGTTATAAGAAAATCAAACGATAAACGCGTTGGGAAATCTATTAAAGTATTGAAAGATGTTACTAGTTTAAATCAGCTGCGGTCTGTTTTTGAATCGTTTGACGTACTCGTATAGTGACCTCCTTTTTAATTTCACCACTGTCAAATCTAAAAGTATGGGTTCTTGTACTTGCATTATAGTATTTGCAAGATAAATTTTTAATTTATTGATTATTTGAACATTTTATACGTATGTTTCTAAGAGGATTATCTGTACTAAATAAATATTTTCGTTCAGTGTATTAACGGAAATTAGGGATCATAAACGGTTATACAAAAACTAATTTCCTCGTAAATGCAGACCGAGTTTCATGCACACTGTAATAAAATACGATAAAAGAAATAATAAATGTTATCGACTAATATATATTTTTACTCGTATATTATCCAAATTCATTCTGTAACTTATTGATGTTTCTTTGGGCTAAACT